TTGAAACAACTATGGTTCCTCATAGTTTTATCGTTTTTTTTTTTTTTTTTTTTTCTAATCAGTTATGTACATTAGGGTTTTATGTTACATTTAATGTTGTTAAATTAATGTTTATTTCATTTTTTTTTTCATGTGTGTTACCATGATGGTGCTTAATGTTTGTGTGAATGACACTGTACAGCTTCTTTAAATAATTTTTGCGTTATATAAGTTATATGAGACTTATGTAACTCTCATAACTGCTGTGATGATTGTTGGTTGTCAGTGTATTACAATGGTCTAGAACAGATATCAATATGTCAATAAGTTGGTAAATCAACATTTTATCAGAAAATAAAATACAGTTTATTACTGTAAATTTTAAGTTAAGTCTGTAAAACCATTAACATTCCTACTGTATTTTTAACGGTAAAGTTCTGGCAACCACAGCTGCCGTTTTTTTACAGTAAAATTTACGGTTTATTTTTTACAGCCATGTTCCCAATGTATATACTATGTACTTATTATAGAAATTGAAATAACTAGGTAATAATTAGATCCTAACCCCGAACCTAACCTTAACCCATACAGTGTAAAAAACAATTGTGATTTTAATGGTAAAAAACTGTAAATTGGTTAACAGAACCTTTCCTTACAATATACGGTAAATAACTATAATAGATCAAATGGTAAATTTCATGTAATTTTACTGTAAAATACCGTTAAATTTACAGTTTTTAAAGTGAAAATGAACAACTCATTGTATAATTTACAGTGAAAAAACATAAATTGATATTCCCACAATGTCCTTGAGTGACACTTCGCATTTGATGTATTTTTGTTGATATAACTTGTTTCTTCATAGTTTGCAGTCTTTAATCAGTTATGTACATTAGTGTTGTATGTGACATGTAATGTTGTTAAATTAATGATATTAATTTAACAACATTACATGTCACATTTTTTTTATTTTTTTGTGTGTTACCATGATAGTGTTTAATGTTTGAGTGAATGGACTACATCCATATATCATGTGACTCATCACTGCTGTGATTGTTGGTTGTCAGTATATTACAGTGGTACAAAACAGAAATTAACACTTTAATTGGTTGATAATTTAACTTTATATCAGATAATGAAATGCAGTTTATTACCGTAAATTTTAAGTTAAGTTTGTAAAGCCTTGTTGCTGTAAAGTCTTGCTACCGTATTTTATACGGTAAATTTCTGGCAACCACAGCTGCCGGTATTTTACCGTAAATTGAACACTTTTTTTCTTTTTTTTTTACAGTGTATAGTTTCCTCATATTACCCAGTGTTTTCTTAGGTAAGTACATTTTAAGTGCACATACTGTAAAATAAAAATAAAATGCAATAATGTTGTGTATATAAAGTCAATGGGGTCCAAAAAGCGTATGGACCAAAAAAAAATATTGTTACTTTTTTTTAATTTTTTTTTATTGGATTTTCAAGAAAGTCTCTTATGACAACCAAGGCTGTATTTATTTGATAAAAAAGACAGTAATAATGTGAAATATTTTTACTATTTAAAAAAGCTGATTTAACTTTAAATAGGGGGGCACGGGCACAACCTAACGTGGGGTTAAATGTAACACAGACCTTTCACGTAGTTTCTCAGGGACACGCTATTTTTCTCTTGCTACTAGAAGACGGTCTCCCACGAAATTGCAGCTCTTTCTGTCTCTATCTATGATATTTATCCAAAATAGAAGGATGATTGGATGAGAGATGGCTGTATGGATATCTACTATACAGATGCACAAACAACATACAAATAAAATTGTACTGAATTATGTGTGTTACACTCAAGTGTTACAACTAACCCCTCTGTCTGTTACATTTAACCTCTCACATGGGGTAAGTTGTAACATTTGCACTTCTGTTACTTTCAGTCCAACTGTACGATAATGGTAGGTCCTAGAAAAAAACTTTAATTGTTCATTTGTAGCAGAGATGTGTTTGTTAGTTGTGTAAAAAAAATATTCTAACCTAATTATTTTTTAATTAATTGAGCCAAAACCAAAATGCGTTAGGTTGTGCCCCGCTCTCCCCTATGCTAAATGTAATTTTTTGCATTTTGGTGATTTGGTGCTCAAGAAACATTTCTTATTATTATCAATATTATGTTAGTAATATGCTTAATATTTTTGGAACAAAATTGATTTGAAATAGAAATATTTTATAACAAATTAAAAGTCTTTACTGTCACTGTTTTGATCAATTTAAGGCATCCTTACTAAATATGTTTCTTTAAAAAAATATTTTTGAAAAGTAAAATTCTATTTTCATAGAAAAAAATAACATCACACAGGTTAATAATGACATAAAGGCGAGCAAATTATGACATTTTTTACAAGTCTAATATGACAGCTCAGCAAAGGGGTCTTGTGTTAACGCAGGACTCTAAGCTTCGGATCGGGCGTCCGGCCAACAGGAAGCTCTCCCAAAGGGTGACGGTGAGTGGGCGGCCATGCACTGCCTGCTTCGAAGGGACAAAATGGAGCTCGTCAGACAGATGGATATAATTCAGTCATTACACGCACAGCCTCCAATTCATTCCACTTGGCTTTCAGAAAAAACGTTGAACTTCACCGTGTGACCTCAAAACATCAAGAGCTTCACATTCTTGATCTTAAAAAGGGAAAGGAAAGATGAAAGTCTAGATTGTATACATCGAGCTTCAGATGAGATTAGGTTCATGCGAAGAAACATAATAACAAGACTGCAGTTTGAAGATGCTCTATGCACTATATGAGCTAGTGTCTTAAGAAACAAGTAAGCACAGGATACAGTCAAAGATTGCCTGACTTCTGCATTCAAGGTCAACCTGGTCAGATCACACATTCACACAGCCTAAGCTGTTGGCTGTAGCCTCATGTATCACTTCCTTTTCAAACCGATACACATCGAGCGGAAAGCAAAACATCCTGATCTGATCTGAATTAAGACAGTTTCATGGATTGCTCATAACAAATTAAAAAGTAGAACTTCTCTGCCAAGGTTTTATTGACTTGTTACACATGATAATGAAGTCAAAAAGAAAAGCGCCGGTACCTGTGCTACAAGGCACAGATAATCATTTTCCTCGGGTATAGAGGACAGTTAATTATGACTGACAGCTATGACCTCAGAATATGCTAATCTAGGCACGTTTGTTCAAGTCTATCCGCTTAAATGGATCTCCTCGATATGATCCTGATGTATATGCTTTCCTTTCCTGCAAGAATGTAATCCACACTTCAATATGGTTGGCTTGTATGGTTGATTATAAATAAAAATAAAAAAAAAATCTGAGGCAGAGCAACATAAGGCAGTAGGAAGCAGAGAAACACAAACAGTAGAGCGGTTATGCAGTTTTCTGGCAGGGATTTCAGCACCACGGACAGCTCCCAGAGAAAGGCCAAGCTATCCAGCCCTGAATCACATCATGTCTATTCTATGGCCTGTTGGTATAGCCCTGTAGATGCACATATACAACCAATATGGGTGAATGGCATTAATAGGCAATGCATATATATATATATATATATATACTGGAAAAAATATTGTTGGTTTAGCTTAAAAAAAATTTATTAACCTGGTTGCCTTAATTTTAAGTTCATTGAAATGGAAAAATTGAGTTAATACAATGAAGGAGATTGATTTAATCATCAGAAACTCAACATATTATGTTATAAGAACTACATTTGACAAAAGAAAAAAATATTTTTTTAAGTGTATATACACAAAAATATTTTTTTCTTTTGTCAAAATGTTTATTTATTTAAGTTTTACTGTAGCCATATATATATATATATATATATATATATATATATATGGCTCTAGCCTATATATATATATATATATATATATATATATATATATATATATATATATATACTCTAGCCTTATATATATATATATATATATATATATATATATATATATATATATATATAAGGCTAGAGTAAAACTAAAATAAACATATTTTTATGCTTACACTAAATACAGTAGTTTATTAAGTAAAAATTATGAATTTAAACCCTATAATTTAAAGAGAAAATCTGCTATACAACGTGTAGACTTCATTTAAATTCACTTGGTTGTTTTAACCCAACTTTGGGTAAAATATGGACAAACCCAAACGTTGTGTTAAAAAGGTAATTAAACATTTTAACCCAATGGCTGGGTTTGTCCATATTTGACCCAAAGTTGGGTTAAAACAACCAAACATTAACTAGTACTGGTCCTTACCACAGAGTTGTGGTTGAGGTTTTAGGGTAGGTTGCTTGTAATTATGCATAATTCACTGTTATTACTATAGTAAGTACACGTAGTAGTAACGTCTAACTACGTCACCTTAAAATAAAGTGTTACCTTATATATATGCACAAACGAGTCGGACCAATCAGCAAGCAAAGTAGCAACAGCCCGCAATTCTGATTCCAGTGCTTTCTGCACTATAACCCTCATTCTGACCGAGTCTTATCTGATAACCATCTGAACTGCTCTTTTTGATTCGTTGCCTACATCAATAATTGCATGAAATAAGGAACCAAGGAACCAAATTCCTAAAAAACGGATGTGGCATCACATTCGGGCTGAATGAATGGAAGAATGAATGAATGAATGAAGGAAAGATTCGACCGCAAAGGTGGAACACTGTGCAGTTGTCAATAGCGCACACATTTATCACACACTCACGCACGAGCACACACACACACACACACACACACACACACACACACACTAGAGAGATAAAGACGGGGTGGGGTGGTGGAGAGCTCGCCTCACAGCCGGTGAGAGAACGCTTCTGTGGATGTATGAATATATATATATATACTGAAATACTGTTCAAACGACCTTTTTAATTACCATGTGAAGTGCCCTTAAAATGATAAGCCTACTGGCTACATGACGCTGTTGTTTTTAAAACACTTAACGTTTATGGCAATCAGAAACATTTGGTGTCAGAAAGACGTCAAAGTGTCCATGCAAATATCAAAACATGAATGACTTACTTTCTCAATCAGTGAGCTTCAAATCACCCTTCCGTTCGCGTCCAAAGCACGCAAATCAATCCGCAATTCTCAAGGAACGTAGCGCGGTGCGAATGAAATGTTCTTCAGCGTGTACTTTGGACTATCCAAGCTATCCAAGAGCAGTTTCACAAGCTTCTATGAGAAGAAATTCGCTCCCGTATATCCATTCGGTCTTCCTGTCAATGCCATCATATGGTCGAGTGCCTCTAGAGCAAATATCTCGATGCTTTCTTGCCCTGCATCATCAAAATCCGGTGTACCAAGTCTTTTCCTGCTGATAAATCAATTAATTCGTCGTCTCCCTGGTTCTGCGTGTCATTCTTGGCGTTCAGCACTACAGATTTGGGTTTTCACATACAGCAAATACGCATAGATGGGTTTTATCCCTGAGATGGACCATTCCCTGCATCTTCTTCATCTCAATCTTCAACAGCCCAGACAGCTGATGCTCTTATTCCACAGTCATGGTTTTCAAAACGGAACTTTTCTTCACCCTTTACGCAAGCGATCTGATTAGATTTCTACTCACAGCCCAGTGCGGATTTCAAGATGCTTATTTCCTTGAAATGTGATTATGTCCTTCGGGATGCCTTGCGAGAGAAAGCCTCATGCAAATATTCGTGTATCACATCATATCCAAGAAACCCAGCATCATCTGGAAAGGAAAAAATGGACACAATCTTCCGAGTTTCTTTTTCTCTTCAGGAAAGTGGATGAAAATGCGCCAAATGTGAGTCAAATCATCCCTTTCTTAGTTGGTTGGTTGGTTAATATAGCCTACTGTCGTAGTTCCTTTTCAGATGCGCATAAACTTGTCAGAGACGAGGTATTCATCAAAAGCTACATCCCGCCAGACACTCAATACAGTTCACCTCAACTCCGACGAAAAGCAATCCACTGACGCGACGGAAAATCCACGCGAATGATGCTGCGCTCACTCGTATTACGATCGGAGAGCAGCTACAAGTGAGTCACTCCGCGAGCAGGAGCATCTAAAGAGGTGAGACTCGTCGAATACGTCGAGATCTCTCCGGTGAATGAAGTTCTAGTGTGAAGTGGACGTGTCCAATGACGCGCGGCTCTCGGTGGGCATCGGCTCAGCGCACTCCGCTGGTGACACCAAGAATCTTCTAACACGTATTGATGTAGCCCTCAGCCCAAAGTCTCACTCTTCTGACTGTCCTCACTGGCGTCTTCTTGGATGCGTAAAAGTCAATGGTCCTATAATCTTTTTCCATCGTACGAATGATTGGTCGAGTGCAATAACCCTGAACGCTATAGATTATATGATGATGGGGGTGTGCGCGCGTTCGGACAGGTCTGTATAAAGCCTGTTTGACGCACACATGTGCGTGTGTGATTGTGTATAGCCTGGGTACTAAGTGTGAGTGTTTGATGCGCTGCTTCTTCCTGTCTAGCGCAGAAGGGACACGACTGCCATCTACCGACTCTCCGTCCCCTGTCTAGACGCACTTGAGCAAAAAGAAAAAAGGAAACCTGGTGCGTGAGAGCAGGCATGCCATTTTCAAACCGCAGATCATAAGCACGTTCAAGTGACCTGCGCAGTGCACACGCCTCCTACGGTTATGAAGGCAGAAATACGCTCACGGCGACTCCAAAACGCACAGATCATGGCAAAACATATAGTAGGATTTTCGATCTCAAAAATAGCTAAAGACGAAGAAAGTTCATTTGGAGTTGCATTTAAGTTGGAAAAAGAACCGGAATATAAAGGGATAGATAATCTTCTTGAGTTACAGTCATGCTAACTTGGAGGAAAACATTTTAAAAAGTGTTTTTTTCCCCCATTTTTGAACTCATCATTGCACATAATGCATCAAGAAAGGAAGCCAACTGGTTTTATTCATAGGCCAACCAATGTCTGTGCGTAAACATAAAATAATGATGCTGCCTTTTTCAAAGTAATTACAAATAGTGGATTTAGCAGTTAATATTCATCCACAGAATTCAATATTTTGGCTTTCTTTTTCAATTATATATGTCTTTTTTAAAAAAATTACTTTGCAGCAGGGGATCTGGATGAGTTTTTTATTCTGTTGCACCACTGCTTCGAGAGATTTTAATTAATACTCTTATAAAACACATTTAATAATAATAATAAATCTATAATTTTTTTTTCTCTCTTTTGTTTCAGATCAAAAGCTGTAATATAGTAATTCATGTTAATAAAGGCTGTGCAAGTGAAAGGCTTAGTACTCATTAGTAAAAGTTTTCTTTAAATCCCTGTGAAGAAAATGAATGGAGAAAATACTTTCATTAAAATTTGCTCTTTTGCTAGTTGGCATCATACTAAAATGCATTTTATAGGGTCAAAATTAGGATACACCCCAATTAGTATTTTGGTCTGTTTCCCCAAAAAGAGAAAGTCAATTTCAAATGCACACTCTTAGAAAAAAAAAGGGTTCGGGTTCTATATTTACTCAACTCCAAATAACCTTTCAACACTTTTGGCACAAAGGTTCTTTATAGGCTATTATTCATTCATATATTACATTATTCTGCAACATTTTGTAGTTGTAATTAAATTATTGTTTATTAAACTGTTGTAGTAGCCTAACATAATATCACATTTTAATCATGCTGATATTTGGAGAAAAACTGAAATGGCACTCTGCGTGTGATATTGATTAACTAATGATATAAATATATACATTTTCTAACCCCCATATCTTGAATTTTGTGATCATTCACATGCATTCATAAATACATTTTAGGGTCTTGATGTTTGTCAATAATATGAAATATTTAAAGGACAAAACAAATGATAATGAATCCAAAAGGTTTCATAAAGAGGGAATGTATTGACGTCACTTTCCCGCCGGAACCCCCTCAGCCTGACTGAGTGGCAAAAGATCTGCCGCGTGACTGGATCCGAAAATAAAACGAACAATTTGATCAATTTAAACTAAATGTTGGACTCAATATAGTGTTCCTTACAACTTACTAAAGATCCAGTGATCCATGGATATTGACATGCAGCCAGGAATTGTGATATATATATATATATATAACATCATATCGTCCAGCCATAAATATATATATATATATATATATATATATATATATATATATATATATATATATATATTTTTTGGTCAGTGTTTATTTAAAAACATCCAATAATGCAGAATATACAATGATAAATATTTAATTGATGAGTTGTTAATATATAGGCTATAACAATACAAAATATGAGTACTCTGCAAAATGATAACTGCAAATCCACCTTTCGCTGACTGGAGTCGATTGCAGCGATCCATTTGCTCCTCAAATATACCTCCAATTTTTTGTCAAATCTAGTTGTACAGTCAATCGCAAAACTCTTTCCCACTTTATATGTGTAGTGTTTGTTTTTCGCGGCATTCACGCTGAAAACATATACAGCCGCTCAGTCTTTTTGCCACTCACTGCGAGTAACTGCAGGAACTCACGCCGACGGTGACGTCACACGCATTCCTTCTAAAGAACCTTTTTCCTGGTTCCAAATACGTAGCGCTGATAGAACCTTTTCGAATAATCTAAAACTAATATGTTTAAGTTGTTTTCAAATATATCAGCCTCAGACCGTTGGCTGACCGTTTAAGCATAAGGCACACAATATAGAAAACACTTCGGGAGAAGTGTGTGTCACGTTTTTAACGGTCCCCCTGGAAACAAAGCTACAATGAAGCCAAATCCCCTCATGGAAAAATAAACTGTTATACAATGAACGTTTATCAGGATCAATATGAAGTTGCAGTTTGATATTGTGGGGACTGACATCAACTTTACATTTTCATACCCCTAAACTGTGACTGGTTGCTTCTGTCAGTCTAGTCTAATCCGCAAGACTATAATACATCATATTTGCATGCAAATAAAAATACTTCCAAACTTTTTGTGAGTGAAATTTTAAGAACCTGTTTTCTCATTCCTTCGGCGGAACATGCTTGTCAGCATCCCGTCACATCCTCACGCTTCACGGACATCTCGTCATTTATCTGTCCGCTCGCCTGTCCACCTGTCCGTCAAGCGCGGCCAAATCAGCTAAATATGGTCGAAGACCATCTCCTCCTCTCCTGCTGTCTGATTGAGTCATTCTAATAATTGTTAGACATTAAAGGGCAGGTGTGTTTCTTTGACTGACAGTCCAGTTTCCATCGCGGTCTATTCACACAAGCAAACGCATATGAGGCGCACTTATCAATGGCTTTAACATCATCCAACATTTCTCAATGCATCTCTGAAGCATAAATACATTATCTGGCAGTCCCCGGATGAATTATATGCCCACAGCAACGTGATGGCAAGGTAGCCTTGTTATGACAGTCTTATCTAATGGTCCAGATTTAAAGCTTTCATTTTACAGCCCTCCGATGATTCTCTTGCGACCACTACGTTTCACTTAGGATGTTATTTGCTCTGTGGGAACCATCTGAATGACCATAACATCTATCTTAATGCAACCATTCATTTCTCTACGAGGACACCAGAGGAAGAGGTGATTGACGGAACATTTCTATAGCAAAGTGCTTTCAATTTACTGCGAAACAGGTTGAGCTTAGAGAAGAAGCTGAATTAAATTAAAGCATGTCGTTACGTCTCACTGGCTGTAATGGTGAAGTAGACAGGATGTCAATGCTTGTCCTTTATGCATGTTAACACACAGCAAGACCTTTGGTATGTTGCATAAACTATGGGACTGGGGAGGGCAAAAAAAAAATGCAAAAAAAAAAACCACATTGCTAATTTTGCTTCACAGTTGCCAGAGTTTTTTGACGGCAACAGTAAATCTATTAAGTATAGAATATTTAACAAAAATAAGTTCAATTCCGATGCCAATTTAGTTTAGTCTTAGTTGTAGAATGCACTTTAATAATTGAAATTAAAATAGTTAAACATTAAATAATAGCTACTAAACACAAAATGTGGTAAAAAAAAGTCAGACTTACCAAGCTATTCTACATTTCAAATGAATCTGTTCTCATTTCAAATCCCTAAGTCGGAGCAACTCTGAAGCTGAAAACAAAATGACTGCAAAAACAACTCATCGTGAGTTTAATGCGATGAGAAAACCTCAAAATAAAACACACCCTGAGACTGAGCAACGCAGCCGGCAAAAAAACTACTATTTGTCCTGGCTGATGTTGCTGCGTCCTTCAGGAAAAGACCAAAGAGTATACAGTTGACCGTCCACGTGAGAGAATAAATCTTTGTCGCCCTTCAGTCCTTGCGTCCTCTCCATCTTTTGGGACTTTACAACTAAAGGAGGGTCAAACATCACAGCAAAACAATCACTATGCACTATAACATATCGAGCACAGGGTAGGGGGTCAATATCACAGACCCTGCAGGACACCTCATTGTTAGGACCTTGTCATCGCCTGACTGTTGAAACATCTGGTTGCGTTTTACATGCGGCAGACTAATCTTTTGCACTTACGCCACAAACAGAAAACACAGATATGATCTAACAGAGTTTGAAGGGGAGAGCAGCTGTGTTTTTTTTTTTTTTTCTGTCCTGGGGTGAAAACGCAGCTAGCAGCTGAATTAAACATGTGCGGGAAGTGGGATAATGCAATATCCATGTTGCTTGCGTCAAAACGGATATATTTCCTTTATATGGTGAGCACCACTGATACAAGGCTTTTGTCATCATTCTCGAAGTTTGTAAGAACACATCATCAACTACTTGCCAAAGCAGACAGCTTAATTCGGCATAAAAGCATCACCACATATAATCTGCAACAGGATTCCATAGAATTCTAATGCAACTGCATCTGAATTTAAATATTTTTACAGACCGTTTTTTTTTTCTTTCTTTTTTTTCGATTCACTTTGAAATGAAATTTTGGTATGTTTTAGCTGACCGCAAGGGCATCCAAGATGTTTTTGTTTCCGCAGTAGTTTCAATTTTGATATTTTTAGGTCAAACCGTCAGTCATATAATGGTGGTCCACCTCAAAGAGCATACACAGAGAAGTCCAGATTAAACATGATTTAATGACTTGTAAATGTAAGTACACATTGATGGCCCAAGACAAGAAACGAGCGGTTTGTGTGAGAAAACAAACAGTATTTATATCGGTTTTACCTCTTATGGTCCAAGTGATCTAAAGCGCGAACGATTCGGTGAAAATGTATAAATAGTTAGCAGATTCTGTTTGTCCTGTTCATTAGTATCAGCAAGGCCTTTTTTGATTAAAATATTGAAGATTCACTGCCATCACAGCTGCGAAATGACACATTACTAATCACAGTAACTAATCGCTCCAAAAAGCGTGACTCACAAAAGCATGTGTCACAAATAATAATTCACCAATTTCCCTAATTAAGATGAGTCTTCTTACACCCCTCACCTCTTCTGTGTGATTTTGGGGTTGGCACAGTCAATAGGTTTTTCTGGAAAATAATGGAATGATATAAACACCTCAGCGGCATCCATGATATTTGCACCAATTCAGTAAATTTCACAGACTTGCTAATTAGAAGCATTGATGTGTTTGCTGCCCTGTTTAATCTCCACTTTGATCCAGTCTAATCTCTCTTCGCACTCATTATCCAAGGG